CGTTTGCATAGTTTGCCCACCAGAGGGCGAGCTGCAGCCTGTTGAACAAAACGTCAGCTGACCGGCGCTACAGTGAGGAGCTCCCCAACTCCTGGTAGCGCTCACACTCACTGTTCACGGTGAGTTGTTGGCGGAAAACATTCATACCAGACTCCCGTTTTTCACTGCACTCTCCCGGGTCACAGCAGGATGTTTCATGTTAGAGCAGGCGGGTAGGTGGAGGCTAACGTTACGCTGACAGACGTGATTGTAGATTTCTTCTGAAACCGTGCTGCACTTCTAGTGAACGGTCCTCTCATTTCTCCCTAGTTCATTACTTCTAAATATTATTTAACATAACTTACAGCAGCTAACGCTGACTGAGGTTAAATTAGCCACAAAGCCGTGTTTTTCAGTGGAAGGGCGCTGACTTTAATGAGCGATTAAACTATAGCGTTTGACATATTCTAAATATATCTGCGAGCTGCTTGTCTGTAGTTACAGTCGGCGTGTCAGAAATGATTACAGTAGTCATTGTGGCAGATTATATGTAAGGTAAGCCTAATAAGTGTGTGTGTGTGTATAATTTGCTTATGTCAGAGAGCCCTGTTTATCATTATTATTATTATTATTATTATTATTATGGGAAATTTTTGTAATTTTTAGTTTCTGTTGGCCCCCACAATACACTACTTACTTTAATGTTCATTAGTAGTTGTACTCTATAATTGATAACAAATCAGATATTAAAATTTTTGTCTGCAGTTTTATTTGACTCTTATTTATCAAAACCTTGATATATATTGTTGTACTTTTGTTCAAAGTACTATTTATCACAATTAAAAAAAGTTTATTTTTATTCTGCGTTATTATTTCAGGGTATCTTGGTATGGTCTCAACATGACAACACTTTAGGGATAATCTTTGTTTATGTCATGTGTTTCTTAAAATAAGGGTGAAAAAAACAATATCGGCCGATATATCGGCTATCGGATTTTCAAAATCTCAAATATCAAAAATCGGTATCGGATTTAAAAATCCCATATCAGTCAGGCTCTGGTTATTTTAACCCAAACCATGATCTTTTCCTAAAACTAACAGAGTATTTTTGTTGCCTAAACCTAACCAAATTACGCTTCACTAGTTTTATTTTGAAAAACCTACCGGACATATTTCTTATTGCTAACTTGACCGTGGAGCCCTATACATGCAAAAATTGATTGATTAAATTGATTCAAGAGATGGTGATTAGTGACTGGTATCAAAGGTGTGAGCTTCATAGGTCTCTTAGATTTTAAACTGAAAGGATGATCCAGGGGAGTGAGTGAAGCAGTTGGCCTGATGAAATTCTAGTTTTGCGAGTTACCTAATTATTATGTGATAATGCGGTTGGAGAGTTAATCTTGCCTTCACGTGCTGGCGAGGAGCTCTGAAATCTGGAAAATGTGAATGTGCTGTGGACAGTGATGGTGGGAAAATCCCACCCAGGAGCCGCAGAGTGAGCAAACACAGATGTGGTGAAAGAAAAACATACAAATGACAGTTAATGGGTTAAAACACTTGCTTGCGTTACACAATACCTCTGGTTTTATCCCGATACACAAAAAAACAAAAACAAATGGTGACCTCTCTGAACTGAGAATAAAGACAGGAAGAGTGAGTCTGCTGCGAGTCCAGCTGAACATCTGAATGTGTTTACCTGGAGAGGAGCCTGTCGCTGGAAGCACCAGGGATCTGGGCTTTTGATGCGTCACCAGCACATTGTGTCCACACAGTTGAAAGGACAGCTCCAGTGTGGTTTCAATTTTGTACGTTTTCCATGACTCTGACATTAATTCAGGCTGTTTTTTTCCCACCGGCACGCTGCACAACTACAGATATGTTTTTAATCCGTTTAAAACGTATGGCGAGCCGTCACCATGCAGCAGCTGTAGAGTGTAAATTGTATTTTAAATATTTAACTGTAATGGTCAGCGGAGCCTGTACGTATTACCATGCGGCCTCGTTGCTGGTTGCGGGTTTGAGTCCCGGCACAAGAAATACTTTTTGTTTTAGAGCCAGAACCCCCTAGATAAAGGCATTAAACCCGGGCTGTTTCTGTGTGATGAGCGTCGATCTGCTGGTTCTGCTGGTTCAGGGTCCTGACGGCGCCTAGTTGCCATGGTGACGGAGTATCTGCCGAGCCAGGGATGCTGCTCTTTATCAGCACGGTCCGGTCAGGTTGGAGAGAGAGAGGGAATGTGTGTGTAATTGAAATGTTTGACCGCACACTGTGTGCCTTTTTGAATTAGGACACAGTTTGTTTGGCAGCACTCACTGTATTTGCGCTGTGTGTGTGTGTGTGTGTGTGTGTGTGTGTGTGTGTGTGTGTGGCGTCCCTGCAGCGCTATAGGGAGGCTAATTGTATTTTAATTACAAAACCATCAAACACACGTGTCAGACAGCTACCTTCCACCCCCAGAAATGCAGAGTAAATGGAGCAGTAAAGTAAATGTGTTCAGCCTGCTGCTTTTATTAAAACAATGTGCTTCATAACAGAAACATACAAAAACATATAACCGACGCTGGCCGCACGCTACAGGATGATTGGACTTATATTTAGGGTCCCATTCGCCCTCCTGACAGTCACAGACGCGTTCCCGAGGCCGGTTGGGGCAGATTATCAGTCCAAATGATTCTGTAGTGTGAGGCGTTTACGGGCAGAATCTGATCAGAGGCTCAATATCAAACGTCAGGGAGCCTCCGATAAGAAACCCGTAACAGCCAATGAGAGCGAGCTGACAGGGAAGCGTCACCAGCGTGTTGGGGATCTGCTCGCGCTGTAAAACGCCTCAGCCTCGAGTTGATCCACAGCAAGGCTTTTAAAGTTTTCCATTTTAATTAGTAGTTTTTATTTTTATTGCATGAAGAATTTTTGTTTTAAATTTCAGTTTATTTTCTTTAATTATTAGTTTTGGTCTTTGGGACTCTCCCGATTTCTCCAGACTTTCGGCGCCATGATGCCAGGCGAGGGCCGTGGACTAAAAACCGGCACAGCTTAGAAATTTGGAAGATAGATTTCATATCCACCTTAAATATGAAAATAAATTGACAATTACTAAAGACATTTACTCTCTAACTTTAGTTTATACTAGTTAGTATTGCAAACAGACGATACAGTTTCAGTTATCGTTTTCTTTTTCTTTCGCTTAACGAAAATGTTTTTTCACACCTATTTTCCGTTAATCGCCTCCGTCCACAGATTGATTCTCTTCTTTTTGTTGTTCTGTGCAAAACACAGCAACAAACAAGGTCAACCAGCTGACGACGACAGTCTGCCTCCATGTTTGTTTCTGTCTGAAGTCACGTTTGATCACGCGAGATTATGTGGGATCCCAAGTCCACCAGCACCGCCACTCTGAAACCGTTTAGTGTAAACGCAGAGTGTGTGGTCCTGCGTCCGGACTGAACCGGGTGTGTGCATTCTTAGGATTAAAATATTAAAACGTTACGTCTGTGGTATCCCACGTTTTAAAACTCGGTTGAGATCCTCTAGTGACTTTCTAGAGTTTATTTTTTTATTATTTTGGGGCATTTTATGACCAAGAAAAAAGTGGAGACGTGAACCGGCGACCTTGCAATTCATGTTTTGGCCCTTTAACCCTCGGGCACCGGGGAGCCCCTTATTTTAAAACTTAAATATAATGAAAAAGTACTTAATGTGGTGGTTCTTTGTATTAATACGTATGTTCATATCTAATATAAACGTATGTATAAATAGAGTGAAGTTATGACACCACAGTCAAAAAGGCTTTTTTTTTCTAAACTGTCTTTTCAGAATGAAAATCATAAGTATACATAATAGTAGCATTAAAAAAAATCAATAAAATTTGTATGTAATGTATAAAATTAATTACATATGCATTGATTTGCATATCTAATTTACTGAAAATAGACCAGTCAAATGTGTGACGCCCCTTTTTTCCCACTATTTCACAGATAAAATGCCACATAAAATGAGAACGATAAAAGATATTCAAAAAAACAGTGTGTGACGCTCTAACTGCTTTGAAGGGCCAGAAATATGACTTGAAAACAACTTTCAAATTATGTAAGATTCACTACAGACAGTCTTAAAAGGACTAACACAGATGAAATTTTTACGATCTGAAGTTGAGGAACTTGGTGTAAAATAGACAAAAAATAATATTGATATATATTGTTCAAGATTGTTTTGTACATTTTATGAAAGTACAGTAATAATAGTTGCTAAATCATCATTTGGGATTGTGGGGTCTCGTCTTAAGAGCTTAAATTGCAAGTTTTCATGCAGCTACACACTTGTAATGTTTTGTTCTGATGTTTTTATAATTATTTTAGGTGTTTTTTCTGCAGTTGCAATGACAAACTGGCTTGTGGAGAAACCTCGTGTGAAGCTACAGTAAAGACAGCTTTTACTTTACAGTGGTGGGGAGCAGTCCAAATGTTTTAGCCCATCAGTTGTTCTTATAAAGACCCATTTCATCGTTATGATTAAGATTTGTGGCCGTGAGGCTGCATTTAGTGTCGGTCAGACACGGACGTTAACGTCGACGTCTGGCTGGTTTTTAAATAAAACCAAGAGACGAGATGAGATAATCATATGATGTAAAATGAAAGATGACATGAAAGCAGTGATGGGATGAAATGAGATCTGTGATGATGAGATGAAAGTTGACTGATTCTTGTGGTTTGACGAGTAAAAATTAAAGTGAAAAAATCAAATCAGTGAGTTTGAGAACAGAGTGCAAAGCAATGAAAGTTTTTGGAAAGTGATCCAGTCGCTGTGTCTAAATGACTTCTTTGAAGTTATTTTTATAGCCGGGCTTCTACTTGATGTCTTTAATCATTTAAACTGCTTCATCTGCATCAAACTGAAAGTGATTTCTAACAAAACCACCTCATATTATGTTAATTTTAACTTAAAGTGTCATTACCGGCTTTTAATGCTCGAAAAACTTACCTAATCCTGCCCCCTTCGTCTCTCTATCTGCCAATCACAGCTCCCCCACCGCCGAGTGACCTTCTCCACGGCCAATCAGGCGCAGGACCTGCAGGACGCGTCCCAGCACAGCTACTACGACAGCGGCCTGGAGGAGTCGGAGACGCCCAGCTCCAAGTCGTCGTCAGGGCCGCGGATCGGGCCGCTGGCGCTCCCGGAGGACCACTACGAGCGCACCACGCCTGATGGCAGCATCGGCGAGATGGAGCACCCGGAGAACGGTAAGACCAGGTGGAGTTTCCCCCTCCGTCTACTCCTCCATTCACCTCCTCCATCCATCAGCAGACACACATGTGGTTATTACACACACACACACACACACACTCTGCACAGTGTGTCAGCAGGAATGTTAACGTCGTATTTTTAATCAGACTCCCACAATTCCCTGCGCTGCGTAGGCTATACCTCCGTTAAAGAGGTGTGTGACCTCACAGCAGCACAACACAATCAATATGCAACATAATCAACTCCCAGGGCTTAACGAATTAACATCCCAATTATGTAAATCATGCCGAGTCCAACCTTCCATCAGCTCCACTTATAGATCCACAGAGGGAGGCTAGCAGGGAGTGCGCTAACACAATACACTCCCTCTGTCTCCAGCAGTAAGCATTTTGTCAGCATGTCATCGGCGTGTTAGCGTGTTGATTTTTTTCATGTCTTTCCCTGTTCATCATTTACAGGAACAGCCTGAACAGGTTATGGGAACGGCAGCACACTTAGCCAGGAGATGCTAATGATGCTACACAACACACATACTAAGTGTTTCCAGCTTCACATTTGAACGTCATGGTTCAGCGTGTTGACAGTCTTACACCTCTGCTGCTTTTTTTTTTTATATATAGAAACACTAAAACTTATTAGCGAAGGCTTCATTAACATTATTGTTGTGGCTAAAAGGTGTAAATGATGCTACATCACCACAGAGAGTCTAAACACAACACAGATTAATGTGTTTTTTGCTTTTTTTATTTTTGATGTGTTTGAAGCCAGTTAACACAATAATAATAATAATAATAATAATCTAGCTGCAGCCAAATGTACAACTCTTGTTAGCGTGTTTTTATCATTGTTATTTAGAAATACTGAAATCTTAGAAATAAAACTGTGTGGCTTCCATGATGGCTACTGACTTTCAACTCAATAGCGTTGGTGTAACTTTACTTGTTACACTCTAACTCAGACATTAAGCTATAATGTATTATTACTACGACATCAGCGTGTTGACACTGTTGTAATGAAGAAAACCGAGTAGTAAAAATGTTTCTAGTGGAGGCCCTTTTATATTTGCTGTTAGTTAGCTGCTATCTTAAGATGCTACACACACACACAACACACACAACTTGTGTGCTTTACTTTACTTTTATTTTTAGTTTGAAGCCAGTTTAGCAAGGAACATGCAAACTTTACTTTTCATTTTTTTTAACCTACTCATAACCCAAATTAGCAGCGGTGTCAGTTTTTATTTGGTAACGTGACGCTAGGATGGTGACTCTGTAGTAAAAAATGACTAACATGCTGTTAACAACAAACAGGATGGACTATTGTTGTTAGCTTGTTAGTAGATTGTGTGAAATGCTCTCTGACCCCACTGAATCACACTCATACTATAATCATGCTTTACTTTAAATGAACCATAATACAGTTTGACTTTAATAAGACAGCAAGTACTAAAGATTTTCTGTCAACGAGGACACGTATTAATTTTACCTGTATGTGTCTCTCAGTCCAAAACATCTCAGGGCATAAAATACCTATTATTATTATTATTATTATTATTATTATACCAGTATGTCTTTTTAATATGTGGTACATATGCAGTTTGATTAGGTTTTGGCATAAAAAAAAGTACTTTGTTAGGTTTAGGAAAAGACATATTGCAGCATGGATATGAAAAAACAGGCACCGGTCATAGTTGTGGGCTAATTATTACGTTTAACCCCTGCAGCTTAACTAAAAACAACAACCTTACAGTCCTTAAACAAACAAAGATGAGAACTAAAAATACATCAGCACCTAGGGGACATGTTTTAAAATGTTTTCTTATTCTTTAAGGTATATACTTGAGTGTTTTTTGTAGCTACATACATTGAACGGCACAGTGCACAGCACAGTATTTCCCACACTGCCTTACACCTATAATATAGAAATTAGATCATGATATACTGTAGCGTTTATTGTTTTACTTTTAAAGCTTTCCCTCTGGTATAAATAAAGTACTCAATTTACCTGCTTTCTGGAGCCAAATGATTCATTAGACACGCATCTAAACACGCCACCGTCTTTGTTATTTTTTTCTTCTTTACTAACGCTCACTGTTCATTATTCTGCCTCGGCTGTTAACGCCTCGTTACCACTTATCCCAATTAAGCTAACTGAAGTGAAATAGTTGAAACTGGCAAAAAAAATAAAATAGAAAGTGGAGATAGAGAGAGAGAGAGAGAGAGAGAGAGAGAGTTCAGTGTAAATGTCATCCCTCTCTTCTTTTGTGAGGGCGAGAAGACCAACTCTCTCTCCGCCTCTCTCTGTCTCTCTCTCAACCCACAGGTCGTACGTATGCCATCTGTAAACACAATTATTCCCAGCTGCTCGCACGCCTACAGGCTACTGCCACCCTGTGTGTGTGTGTGTGTGTGTGAGATAGTGATAAAGAGCAGGAGAGTGTGTAAGTGGCTGCATCTCCTCGTACACACTGGAATGAGGTCAGGGTTGTGTTGTTGTTGTGTGTGTTGCAGTGTGAGAGGATGGTGGTTGTGTACAATCTTCCACTTTGATGGTCAAACATGTTTTCGCTTCAGGTATTTTCCCAAGGAAGTGTGTGTTAGTGTGTGTGTGTGTGTACCAGCAGAGAGGTCAACAGATTACAGCTAGTCTTTTGAGGATTAACACACACTACAGATACACTTTACTCAAAATGTAAACCTTTATTTCTGCGATAAGCCGACCACTCTTTCACGGTTGTTTTGACTTTTTCAAAACTTTCCTGCTGTGAGTTGATCCGTCCCCGTGTTGTGTCAAACCAAACCCCATTGAAAAATCACTCGATTTTAGTCTGCATTTAAAAGGAAAGCACCGAATGTTCGGCAACCGAATAGCAAAAAAAAAGCACTTTCGGTGTTCGGCCTAGTAAGTCAAAAGGCCGAGTCAATTTTTACACTTTAACACTTACGTTGACATGCCGGCAGTGTGGAAGCATTTTAAAGTGTCCGAGAAAGACCCAAAAGTCGCCGTTTGCAGACGCTGTTCTGCTGAATTGTCTCCCAGCACATCCGCTCCATCTGTGGCTGATTTTCTTAGAAAAGAACCGAGAAGGCGATTAAGCTAGCCGCGCATACATTTGGAGTGCACACATATTCAAGCCTTTAAGGTAAATCCACCGAAACGGCCCAGAGCGAGCTGACAGGCAGGTTAGCGACTTTATCCTGTCAGTTTGTCTCTTTAGTATGAAGAGAGGCTGTGAAGTCTTCATGTTACGCCGGACGAGAACCACACACAACATTATTTGTCAAACTGGGTCGGACTTGATGAATGTAATTTACTTTACAGGACCCTCTCGGGCCTCGGACCCCCCCCACCATAATCTCTCCAAATCCTGTGGGAAACAACGAGTAAAAAGCACATTTTGATTATTTAATTTATGCAGTGGTAAAAAACTGGCAAAATAAATATAAAAAACCTTGTTCGGGAAGGTTTTTCTATTAAATTTTCATTTCGGTGCATCCCTAATTTAAAACAAAATATTTGATGACTCTGTTCTCTAGGAGTCGGCACAATCCGGGCTCCAAACATGCAAAACACAGCTGGACATAAATAAAGTTTAAACGGTTAGTTGAGCAATTATTAACCAAAGTTTAGTAGTTTTAGGTTCAGCTCTGCATCTCAGTTTAGTTTGTTCTGTCTCTTTGGCAGGCTGTTTAGCCTATTTGTTTACTGCTGCAGACAGTATCGATCATTTAGTTGTGTGACTGATTGTTGATCGCTCAGATCTCAAGTGCTTCAGACAGATTGAGGAAGAGCTGCAGGAACAAACAGACTGACCTCAGACTCACTCTGTCTGTTCCTTCAAACTGGTTGCAGCGTTTAACCACAGTTTATTTACCCTCAGCACTCGGCAGATGTGCGTCTTCTCTTAGTCAGAATTTCCATTGTTACTTTCTGCATGTAAAAACTAATTTCATCCATCTGAAAAGCAAGATCCTGCGTTGTCACTGTGTTTCCAAAAATACATTAGCTGCTTCCAAACTTACAGCCTGTGTTAAATTTCTTATTTTAAAGTTGGAGAAAAATGCAGTGATCGGAGTTGGATTGTCTCACACAGCAGGTTGCAGTTCAGTCAAACGGGCCGCCATGTTTGAAACTACTTCACTCATATGATGGATCCCTGATGGCCACATCATGTGACGCTATACACTTAGCATTTGGTGCTATTTGTGGGGATGGATGCATTTGCACTTAAATAACACGTGGTCAGACTGTGTCTGCTGAAGTGCTCTGTGCATTTTCAATTTGTTCTTAATGCATCCTAGTAGATTTCTAAATCTATAGTAATATAATCTGGACGTAATCCAGATATAATCTTGATTCTCATGACATGTGACACACAGACTTGGGCTCACTGTAGTCCAACCGTTGTTCTACTTACATTAGTGCTGCTGCACACTGTTGCTTGAGGAAGGTCACATTTTGATTTATTATTCATTAAAAAATGTTTTACACTATTAACCTCCGGATGGTAGTGGATGGCAGCGATGATGTAGCTTCACAAGATTTTTCTTCGTTCTTCCCGTCCCCATGAAACGTGCCTGCATCATCATTCTGTCTTCATGTTCATGCTTTTTTGAGACGAGGTCGAGCAGGAACGTTGCTGCTGCCACAGTAAACACAGGTGGATGACATTTTGCTGAACTTCAAAATGGTTTCTAGAAAATATGACATGGCTTTTCCAGTGGACGAGGACGTAATTTAGAACAGGGAGAAGCCATTTGGAAGAACATTATAATGTCTTCAACCTCAAAAATAAAAGCTCTAATAATAATACTATATTTTGTATTATACCGTATCTTATTTTTAATAAATCCAATGAAAAGATTGGTCACAGAGTCGATCCCACATGCACCGTCCACTTTCAGTAACATTTGTAAAAAAACTACAGTGTCCACATGTTTTATGAAATATTAAGCCTTTTCATAAAAATATGAAATGATTTATTTGTTAGCTGTTT